CCACACGTACAAAAACTCATTCCTCCAATTCTGCACAACGTGCCTGATACATTCTTAAAGCAACAGTATTCAATACTCAACTGAGCTACAACACCATATTACTGCACACAACATTTCCCCTCCCCCTATCCCTCCCTGCTCTAGTTCACATAGTCTTTAAGCTACGAGGGAGGAGCTATGACCCGTTGGGGTCTCCCAGTGTTCAGAGGTGCGGCTGGTGGCAGGGGAACTGCAGGCATTTGAGGCCTGACTGGTGGAAGTGCCCTGAACTGAGCCTGGTGTAGGGTGGAGGTGCGTGAGCCCCTTGACCTTGCTCTTGCCCATGGTGAGTTGTGGACAGACAGGTCAGGAAAGGATCCCCCACAGGCGAATGGACCTTTCTGAGGCGGTTTCCATGCCAGCGGGATCCATCCCGAAGTTGGAATGTTGCAGGTCGTTCCACTCTCAGGGGTTTGGACCAAAATGAGGAGAGCTTGTTCCGACGGTTGTCAGTCCTGACCGCACCCAGCCTTCAGGCTTGGTTGTTTCACTCTGTGAGACGTGTCATAATGTTGTTTCATAACGTTGCTGCTCCAACATGGGCTTGCCTTGCTGCAGCAGGACTTGTTCTTTGGTTTTGGGCCGAGGCAGTCCAAAGGGAGTTTCAGTTCCCTGCCAATCATCAGGTAGGCAGGGGACACCCCAGTTGTGGAGTGCTTGGTAGACCTGATGTGGAGTAGTGTAAGGCACAAAGCCACATCAAAAGGTCGTCCCTCAGCCAAGTAGGCCCATATTCCTTCCTTCAGGGTCCTGTTCAAGCGATCCACCCCCCCCCCGTTTGCTTGAGGGTGGTACACAGCCGTCCGGATGTGTTTGATGGATTGCTTTTCAAGGTACACATACAGATCATTCGAGACAAACTGGGGGCCATTGTCTGTCGTAATGGTGCTGGGCAACCCCCACCTACAGAACAGCTTATCCAGTGTTTGGATGATCATCTGTGAGGTGGTAGAGGACAACGGCACGGCTTCTGCCCATTTCAAATGCAAGTCATGAATGACCAGTAGGTATCTTGCGTGTGCTGGGGCACAGTGCAACTCTCCACAGATATCCACCTCCATGTGGTCCCAGGGAGCCTTTGGCCATTCCACTGGTGTCAGGGGTTCATGAGTGGATCTGCCCGATTTCCCACTCATCAGGCATGCTGTGCAGTCCTTCACAAGGGACTCAATATCTCTGTCAATATTTTGCCACCAGACCGTGTCCCTGCATCGTTGCTTCACCTTAACGATGCCCAGGTGCCCCTCATGTGCCATGTGAAGCACTCGCGCTTTCAGGACCTCTGAATCGATGTCCTCTGGCGTTGCACACTTCCTCCCAACATGAGAGCTCATCTCTCACCCTGTAGAATGGCAGTAGGTCTCCGTCCACCATAGCAGGCCATCCTACGTAGGTGTGAAGCCTTGTGAGCAGCTTGTTATCCCGTAATGCCTGTCTGAGTTCCTGCATTGTGACTGTAGCTTCCAGTGGGCCATGTAGCATGCGGACCCAGTTGTCGTTGTCCCCCTCTGTTGCGTCCCCCTCTATTGCCATGCACACCATTGATGCAGGTGAGATCGCCCTGGACAGCAGGTCAGCCACAACGTTGTGGCATCCCAGGGTGAACTCAAGATCGAAATTGCACTGGTTCAGACAGTCTGCCCATCTGAAAAGCCGTAGAGGCTTGTGTCCGGAGCCATGTGTGGCCAGCAGTGCTGTGAGGGCTTGATGGTCTGTGCTGAGTTTGAATGATCTGCCATACAAGTACAAGTGCCAGCACTTGCACGCCCACATGCAAGCCAGGGCCTCCTGCTCTCCCACAGAGTACTTTTGTTCAGTCGGAGACAAGGCCCGTGAGGCAAAAGCCACTGGCTGTACCACACCTCCATGCAGTTGAGACAAAACATCTCCAAGGGCGAGTGCCGAGGCATCACAGGTGACAATCGTTTGTGCTGATGTGTCAAAGTGAGCCAGTGTTGGGGTCGATGTGAGCTGCACCTTGAGCTCCTGCACAACATCCCGACAGTCCTGAGTCCATGTCCATGGTGTGTCTTTTTTCAGAAGCCGTCGTCTCAGCGTAGTTTGGAAGAAACCGTAAGTAGTATGTTGCCATGCCAAGGAATGATGCCAGCTGTGTTACATTACATTTACATTTTGTGTCATTTAGCAGAAGCTCTTATCCAGAGCGACTTACAGTTAGTGAGTGCATACATTTTCATACTGGCCCCCCGTGCGAAACAAACCCACAACCCTGGCGTTGCAAGCGCCATGCTCTACCAACTGAGCTACAGGGGACTACAGACATGGAGCTACATTCTGTACCAATCTGCACAAAGGTGTACAAGTGGCAATTGTTGGGCTTTTAATGGCAGATAAGACCGTCAGTGTATGTGTATTTTTGGTTTTGTGTTTATGAACTTGCATTTACATGTGTGCAATTTCATGTTTGTGTTTTGTCCATGCAGATTACCTGCACTACTTCAACGAGTCCAAGAGCTGGATCAATGCCCTGGAGTTCTGTAAAAGTCGTGGCTCAACGTCCAACCTGGTGCACATCACCAACCAGACCGTGCAGGCTGACGTGACCCAGCTCCTGGCCAACGTGGAGCTGCCATGGGGGGGAGTGTGGATTGGTCTGGAGCGGTCCATCGGGGGTTGATGCCCTGGCTGGAGAGCCTGTTTCCAAGGAACTCAACGTCTGACACCCCGAACACACACTTTTCAGTGTTGAGTCTGGCCCTGTTCTCGAAAAGCTGACGAAACACCTGCTGCAAGCGAGAATCGTACTCTATCTGTGATGCACCATACACCACAATGTCATCCAGATAGATTGACACTCCAGGGATGCCTAACAGAAGAAGAGTCATAATCTTCTGGAAACAGCTGGGCGCGGAGCTGAGGCCGAATGGCATGTGTTTGTACCTGAACAACCCCCTGTGTGTTATGAACGCAGTGAGATCTCGACTCTCATGTGCCAGGGGAACCTGGAGGTATCCCTGCCTCAGGTCTAGTTTGCTGAATACCATGGACCCATAAAAATGGGTTGTGAGCTCCTCAGCGGTCGGTAGCGGGTACTTGTCGGGAATAATTGCTTTGTTCACGGCCCTGAGGTCCATGCAGATCTGAAGATCGCCATTTTTCTTGGGCGCAACGAACCAGGTTTGAGACCCATGGCTAAGCGTCAATGGACTCGATGATGTCATCTTCCAGGAGGTTGTCAAGTCCCTTGTCAATGGGCTCCCGAAGGTTCAGCGGAACCCTCCGCAATGACTGGATTACTGGCTTGACCTCTTTGTTGACTGTAGGCCGATGGACGAAACCTCTGAGGTGACCTAGCCCCTCAAACAGTTGTGAGTACTCCGCAGGCACTGGTGTAGGCAAGTGCTGCACATGTGCACCAGTTGAATCTGACAGCTTGAACCCTAGGGCATGAAATAAGTCCAGTCCGAGGATGTTAGCGCCATCTGTTGCAAGTAGAACTGGGTGGCCGGTGTGGTTTTGTTGTTGTGACAGACTGGCAGTGAGACAATCCCAATGATAGAGATCAGTGTGTGGTTGTAGCTGTAGAGGGATACTGCTGGTCTCTGCAGTGGTACATGTGAGAAGAATGAGTCATAAGTGGCTTTGTTCAAAAGTGACACTTTTGCTCCAGTGTCAATCACCAGTGAGGTTTTAACACCCTCAATGTAGCAGTCACATTGCTTGAACACAACTGAGTCATCATGTACAGAGTTAATGGAGACTGGTGAACTTCGACCTACATCTGCTTGATGCTGTCCTGCTGCTGCTGAACGACAACAACGGGCAAAATGATTGTATTTGTTGCAGTTCTTGCAGCGTTGCCCCTTTGCTGGACATGTAGACGCTCTTGTAGCATGCCCACTGGAGCCACAATTTGAACGACGTCGCCCCCCAGTGGTTTCCTGCACATTTTGCATTGGTGCCTCAGCCAGTTTGTGAAGCCCCGCCCCTTGAGATGGGCTGTGTAGTTTATGTAGGTCAGCGAGAGCAACTTCCATTTGTTTTCCAATATTAAGTGATTTCTCCAGTGTCAGATCATCAGACTCTAACAACAATTTCAACCTCAGTGGAGCACATTATGTTTTTTCAATTAACTGATCACGTACAAATTTGTTTTCGAGTGGTCCGAATCGGCATGGTCCCACTTACTCTCTCAAGGAGGAGACAAACTATGCTACGGACTCACCCGGCAGTTGAGCTCGTTGTCTGAAGAGAAAAAGAAGCATTATCACACTGCGTGAGCCACTGTAGTGTTCCTCGAGAGCTTGGACCGCTGATGTAAACTTGTTATCCACGGGCTGTAGAGTGGAGAAGACACGTTGTCCCTCAGCGCCGAGACAGTGGAGTAGAATCGCCCGTTTTCGTGCGTCGGCAGCTCCATGCAGATTGACAGCTACCATATACAACTTAAATGATTGAAACCAGTGATTCAATGGAACAGGTGGATCTCCTGGGACTGGGAGAAATGGAGATGGTGGAGGCAAGCTAAACTATCCCATCCTCGTCGCCAAATGTTACAAATGCACGGAGGCTTGTTGTGCAATTAAACTGAACGTCTTTACTTCAGATCAACGTGTTAACCACACGTACAAAAACTCATTCCTCCAATTCCGCACAATGTGCCTGATACATTCTTAAAGGGACAGTATTCAATACTCAACTGAGCTATGACAGGGAGGTTTAGAGATTAATTTGATTATATTTGGCTGGTTGGCTTTACCGGGCAGGTTAAGAGGATGAAGTATTTAACATCATAACGTTATATCAGAGAGGTGTAGCGGTCAGGAAAGCCCAGGTCTTTTTCAGTAACAGCAGTGTTTGAATGTTAAATAACGAGGCAGAGGCATTGATGCGAGTAACCAGTCTTGTTCCGTATATTGCAATACATCCGGGTATCTCAAGTACACCGGTAAAACACTGGAGTTGCAGTAATGAACATTTACCAACAGATGGCATCAATGTGCCATCTTCCACCCATAACATCTTCCCTTTTATAAAATAGGACAGGAGCTGTCAATTCACTAACAAAACAAACCTAGTAGTAATTTCCAACATGAACAGTTAAGTATTTTTTATTTATTTTTTATTTTTTATTTTTTTATTAACCACTTAACACATTTTGATACTCTCTTCACTTTTATCTCTGTCTGTCAACAATCCCTAATGGGAAACCTACAGATTAAGTCTTTTTGGTGGCTGGGACAGACGCCCGCAGCGTGAAAAGACAGGGGGCTTGTCTGCGTGGACTGCGGGCTCCCGCACAGGCGTGTCACCTGACTGTCTAAGGGGAGTATTGATGGGCGAGGGAGTGGCCGACCTGTGATCCCCTGGCTCTTCGCCCAGTGCCTCAGGCCCCATGTGACTTGCTGGGGTTCCGTCTTTTGTCATGCGACCCCTATGACCATCAGAGTTCTGAGTAGATGCTGGCTCAGCAATCCGAAGGTCAACCCTGTTACGACGGTACAGTGATCCATTCACTTCGACCAAGTAGGAGCGTGGTGCCACTTTCTGTACACAGGATCCGAGTCTCCAGAGGCCCGTCCGGTCCCCTGGTAGTGGCTTCATTCGCACCGTTTCACCCACCCTGAGCTCAGGTAAGTCTTTTGCTGATTTGTCGTAGATGAACTTGGAGACCTGTCTTCTGTGACGTAGCTTCACCAGCACGTCTGTCACCACACATGGCTCCAGGAGAGTGCTTGCTACTGGCAGAGCTGCTTTTAAACGCCGTGCCATGAGGCGCTGGGCCAGGCTGCTATCCATGCCTTCTGTCGGGGTATTGCGCCATTGCAGGATTGCTTTCCAGGCATCTTTGCCCTCTCGCAGAGCTTTTTTGCAGAGGTTCTTTGCAATTTTGACTGCCGACTCAGCCTTCCCATTAGCTTTTGGGTGTCGTGGTGATGAAGTGACGTGCTCGAATTCCCATTCTGCAGCAAATTTTCGGAACTCACATCCGGAGAATTGGGGTCCATTATCTGAAATTACCCTATCTGGCTGGCCATAGCGGGCAAACTGAGCCTTGCAGCATTTGATCGTTGTCTCTGCTGAGAGGTCGGGGAGGAGGTCAATCTCCCAGAAGTCTGAGTAATGATCAACTACCAGCAGAAAGTATTTGCCACTGTGCTGGAAGAGATCTAGACTTACTATCTGCCAGGGGCGCATTGGTAGCTCGTGGGACATCATCGTCTCTCTCTGTTGCTCAATGGCATATTCATTGCAGATTGTGCATTTACTGACATAGTCTTTGATTTCACTCTGCATTCCTGGCCAATACAGTGTGTCACATGCTTGTCTGTAACAGGCCTCACCTCCTATGTGACTTGAGTGCACGCGCGCCAACATCTCAGGGCGCAGAGACCGGGGAATAATGACTCTCTGACCCTTGAATATTACTCCGTTTTGAACACTGAGCTCTTCTTTGACTGGCCAATATTCTCTGGTGGCTAAAGCAGTTTCTTCCTTGCAGTCGGGCCAGCCCATCAGAATCACAGACCTCAATGCCTGGAGTTGCTCGTCCCTGTCTGTGTGCTGTCTGATTTGTATAAGGCGCTGGTCCGTAACATTGAGGTAGTCAGCCTGGTTGATGTGTTCAACATCCACTTGCTCTGTTTGTAAGCTGCACACTGCGTGTTGTTCATGCATGGAGCGTGTGTGAGTGCCTGATGCAGTAGCCCTGCTGAGCGTGTCACTCACATACATCTCTGGCCCTGGCTTATACACCACCTTGAGGTTGTAGTTTTGTAGGGCCAGTAGCATGCTCTGCAGTCATTTCGGGGCATTCAGGAGAGGCTTGCTGAATATAGCAATAAGGGGCTTGTGATCTGTCTCTGCGGTAATATTGTCACGCCCGTACAGGTAGTGGTGGAAGCGTTGGCATGCAAATACAATGCTGAGGCACTCCTTCTCTATCTGGGCATAGTTCTGCTCTGTTGGAGTGAGTGCCCTAGAGGCGAATGCCACAGGCTGGCCCTCTTGCATGAGGCAACAGCCCAGTCCATACTGGCTTGAGTCACTCTGAATCGTGACAGGTTTTGACACATCGTAGTATCGCAGTACAGGTGTCTGGGTGACCAGTTGTTTTATTTCCCTCACCGCTGTGTCATGTTTTGGGAGCCAATGCCAGATGGTGTCCTTGTCCATGAGCCTCCTTAGTGGTTCACACACTTCAGAGAGCCGCAGTTAGGAACTTGGCCAGGTAGGTGACAAATCCGACGAAGCGCTGCACTGCCTTCACGTCAGATGGGTGGGGCATATCCAAGACAGCCTTCACTTTTTCTGGATCCGCCTTCAATCCGGTGGAGGACAAGATGTGCCCATGAAAGCGAACCTCTGGCACTTTAAACTGAAGCTTTTTTATGCTTAGCCTTAGCTTGACCTGTCTGCATCTGACCATCAGGGCCAGCAGCTTGGCGTCATGGTCACATTCTGCCTCCTCATCACTGTCCCCACAGCCCACTACGAGGATGTCATCTGCTATGGGTTCCACGCCGCTGAGTCCCATCAACAGCTCGTGCTGTTTCCGCTGATACACCTCTGGAGCCACGGAGACACCAAACGGGAGCTTCAACCACCTCTTCCTGCCCCAGGGTGTCCAAAAGGTGGTCATGTAGCTGCTGGGCTCGTCAAGCTTGCACTGCAGGAAGGCATCTCTGGCGTCCACGAGCGTGAAGACTCTGGCCTTTGGGAGCTTGTAAAGAACATCCTCCAACGTGGGCATAATGTAATGTGAACGTCTCAGAGCCCGGTTGAGGTGTTTAGGATCTATGCATATCCGTAGCTTGTCTGGTTTCTTGACGATAACCATATTACTTATCCAGTCTGTAGGCTCGGTGACGGATATGATGTGGCCATCTGCTTCGTATTTGTCAAGCTGAGCCTTTGTAGCTGCTTTCATGGCCACTGGTACATTGCGAGGTGCACACTGGACAGGCTGGATTGCTGCATCCAACTCAAAGTGGACTTCGCCGGGAACTGACTCGACCGGTGCGTTGAAGACATCATGGTACTTGCTTAGGAGAGTCTCCTTGCTCAGGGGCCCAGCCTGGACTTTGTCTATAATGTTAAGATCAGCTGGGATGGTGAAGTTAATAAGCCCAAGGCGCTCGCATGTAGAACCTGACAGTAATGGCTGTTGACTAGCCTCAACTATTTCAAACTCAAGAGTGTGTTTCTGGCCACGTAAAACACACTCTGTCACAAACAGGCCTAAAGAGGTCATGAACTGGCCTGAATACAGTTTCAGCTTGGTGCTACTCTGTGTGAGTTTGTCTCTGGGCGCGAGCCTGCTTTTATCTTTAAGGCTCATAACGTTACATGTGGCCCCTGAATCTAGCTGGCATTGCTGTGGTTTATTATTAAGTAGCAGAGTGACAAACAATTTTTTTCCTTTTGCCCTTACTGCCCCTATGCACTCGCTAGCATATACATCCTCTGTGCTGTTGTTCCCTTCATCTGTGTTTATTTCAATGGAGTGCACTTTACCCTCCTTTCTCTTGCTTTTCATGCAGGCCCCTGCGAAGTGATTAGCTGTACCACAGGATTTGCATATTTTTCCATAGGCTGGGCAGTGTTCTTTTCCTCGTCCATGAGAAATGCCACAATATCGGCATGCATTGGGGTTGTCTACTGCAGAGTTGGCTGTAGTATTAGCATTAGCTGTGGCAAAAGGGAATTTCTTTATTGGCTGCCTGAATATAGCATTGACATTGTCCATATGTTGCCTTTCTAGCTCCATGGACCTTATCTGTATATCCGTAAGCTCTGCTGCACGGCATGTCTCCACTGCCAAGACTAGTGTCAGGTCATGTTCTCTCAGCAAACGTCTGCGGGTGCCCTCATCAGTTATGCCAAGCACTATCTTGTCTCTGATCAGTTCATCTCTTAAAGCACCATAGTCACATGTAGCTGCCTTTTCCCTTAGCTTAGTGACAAAGCTGTCAATGGACTCCCCGTCCTCCTGTTTGCAACAACCGAAAACATAACGCTCGTAGATAACGTTCTTTGCTGGCTTAAAGTAAAGTTCGAGAGCATCAAGAATAGCTGTAGCGTTACCTTGCTGAGCTGCTGTTAGGTTCAGGTTGTGTTTGTATACGTGTCGGCATTCTGCTCCCATTATAGTCCTCAAAGTGGCAGCCACTACCTCATCGTCCTTTTCCCGAAGTCCCGTTGCTAGTGCATAGTCCTCCCATTCACCTCTAAACGTATCCCAGTTTGTGCTCCAATCTCCGCTGAGCTTCATAACGGCGGGAGGGGAAATGTTCGCTGCCATGTCTAAACGGTGCTAACAACACTGAAGCTAACTAGCAAACTCAATCTAGCTAAGGACAATTCCGGAGAAGTTTTACTCAACTAAGCTTTTTAAAACCAGAACAGGTGACTCTAATTTGCGGAAAGCATGGTTAGTTATCCCACTTCTGACACCATGTTTGAATGTTAAATAACGAGGCAGAGGCATTGATGCGAGTAACCAGTCTTGTTCCGTATATTGCAATACATCCGGGTATCTCAAGTACACCGGTAAAACACTGGAGTTGCAGTAATGAACATTTACCAACAGATGGCATCAATGTGCCATCTTCCACCCATAACAAGCAGCTTATCACTCTTCATGCTACACAGGGGAGCTGTTGTGTGAGGGACTCGTTAAATCATTCTCAACCCACCCAGTTTTTAGGTCTCTGATCTGGGTATAACTCCTCCTTGCAGACCTCCAAGCACTGGAAGATCTATGATACTCATATATTCAAGCAGCATGTTTCTAGCCAAAAGGCATACACAGGGGTGGTTGTAATTATATTGCAATATGCTATGCAGTATGCTCTTATTGTAGCATGTACAGGATACTACTGCTGTCAAATTGTTCAATGTCTTATTCAACTGACCTCTGATCTTGAACTCCCTCTAGTGGAGATTCAAAATACTGGTAAAAAATGTTCAGACCGCAAATAACTACTCTTGATTGGTCTGTCTGGGGCCCCCATGCTTCACCTCACCTGGATGCTCTGAACACTGAGATTTGAGATTGTAATGTAATATGTGGTTATCATATTGTTCAATATGTGTGTCCATGGCCTAAGGAAGCAAATGAGAATGGCTATGCATGCTTGCTAAGTTATTCAACAGTCACCAAAGGAAACACAGCCAAGAGGGCCCATAAATAGTAGACCTTTAGGATTTAGGATTAAGTATACTTTTGTATACTTTTTAGCCAGTAGTTCTGAAGGTATTGCTCAGGACACAAAAGTGGTCCACGAAAATTGTGAACTACGTCAAATATATGCAGGTACAGTACGTGCACCACGTCATTGCTCTCTCTCTCTCGCTCTACTGTGTGTGCATCTTGCTAGCTGTCACGCAAATAGCAAGGAGCTAAAGCTCATTGGCTGGAACTCAAATTGCTAGGGACTGTCCCACGTGGGGGGAAAATGTAGAGAAAATGACGATGCACAGCTTCCAGTAAAAAGTCACTTTCAAGCTAGGGATTTTGTGGATAATTGAGTTAAGACAGTAGTTCTGCTCGTAGATTATTCATCTACATTATGAACTACACATTGACACATCCAGCCCAAAGTGAGAGGTTTAAAACATACTTACTAGTCTGCAAAGTTCCAGAGCGTGTCAACTGAGATTGACCCATTATTTCCCTGAGCGCAAGCCTTGATTTACAAATCAAATGAGGAGCAGGTCATATCATGTTGTCTATCACCATGGTGATATTAACTCTAGTCTTTGTCAAATGCCAACCGAAGAATATCGAATTGTAATTTGATGATGCCAACCAGAAGTAAAATTTTACTTTTACTAATGGGATATTACAAGCACTTTCTTACTGTATAACAAATTGTGTACTTCATGACCAATATTTTAATTTCAAAAAGCATTATTTTAAATAAATGTACATAATACATTTCAAATCATGTCACCTTTATGAGTTACAGTATCCTTTGACAACCGTTTAGGTATATTTATTTAACATCAATATCCGGACATATTTTAGGACATTTTGTATTTTCTGTCCTTAGGCACACAATCAAACAATTCCTCAGGTCAAGGTTCATTGACGTGGGAGGGGGCACAGACGGCTTGCCGAGCAAATGGAGATGACTTAGCGAGCAACCTCACCCAAGAGGATTACACAGAAATTGTTATCTTTATGTAAAGTATTTAGGAAATGTTGGAATTTTCAAATGTGTTGGCTCCTACAGTACATGATCTAAACAAATAACAATATATCAAAATATTATTACATACTATTCTACAACATATTTATTACATACAGTGGGGAGAACAAGTATTTGATACACTGCCGATTTTGCAGGTATTCCTACTTACAAAGCATGTAGAGGTCTGTAATTTTTTATCATAAGTACACTTCAACTGTGAGAGACGGAATCTAAAACAAAAATCCAGAAAATCACATTGTATGATTTTTAAGTAATTAATTTGCATTTTATTGCATGACATAAGTATTTGATCACCTACCAACCAGTAAGAATTCCGGCTCTCACAGACCTGTTAGTTTTTCTTTAAGAAGCCCTCCTGTTCTCCACTCATTACCTGTATTAACTGCACCTGTTTGAACTCATTACCTGTATAAAGACACCTGTCCACACACTCAATCAAACAGACTCCAACCTCTCCACAATGGCCAAGACCAGAGAGCTGTGTAAGGACATCAGGGATAAAATTGTAGACCTGCACAAGGCTGGGATGGGCTACAGGACAATAGGCAAGCAGCTTGGTGAGAAGGCAACAACTGTTGGCGTAATTATTAGAAAATGGAAGAAGTTCAAGATGATGGTCAATCACCCTCGGTCTGGGGCTCCATGCAAGATCTCACCTCGTGGGGCATCAATGATCATGAGGAAGGTGAGGGATCAGCCCAGAACTACACGGCAGGACCTGGTCAATGACCTGAAGAGAGCTGGGACCACAGTCTCAAAGAAAACCATTAATAACACACTACGCCGTCATGGATAAAAAATCCTGCAGCGCACGCAAGGTCCCCCTGCTCAAGCCAGCACATGTCCAGGCCCGTCTGAAGTTTGCCAATGACCATCTGGATGATCCAGAGGAGGAATGGGAGAAGGTCATGTGGTCTGATGAGACAAAAATAGAGCTTTTTGGTCTAAACTCCACTCGCCGTGTTTGGAGGAAGAAGAAGGATGAGTGCAACCCCAAGAACACCATCCCAACCGTGAAGCATGGAGGTGGAAACATCATTCTTTGGGGATGCTTTTCTGCAAAGGGGACAGGGCGACTGCACCGTATTGAGGGGAGGATGGATGGGGCCATGTATCACGAGATCTTGGCCAACAACCTCCTTCCCTCAGTAAGAGCATTGAAGATGGGTCGTGACTGGGTCTTCCAGCATGACAACGACCCGAAACACACAGCCAGGGCAACTAAGGAGTGGCTCCGTAAGAAGCATCTCAAGGTCCTGGAGTGGCCTAGCCAGTCTCCAGACCTGAACCCAATAGAAAATCTTTGGAGGGAGCTGAAAGTCCGTATTGCCCAGCGACAGCCCCGAAACCTGAAGGATCTGGAGAAGGTCTGTATGGAGGAGTGGGCCAAAATCCCTGCTGCAGTGTGTGCAAACCTGGTCAAGACCTACAGGAAACGTATGATCTCTGTAATTGCAAACAAAGGTTTCTGTACCAAATATTAAAATTCTGCTTTTCTGATGTATGAAATACTTATGTCATGCAATAAAATGCAAATTAATTACTTAAAAATCATACAATGTGATTTTCAGGGTTTTTGTTTTAGATTCCGTCTCTCACAGTTGAAGTGTACCTATGATAAAAATTACAGACCTCTACATGCTTTGTAAGTAGGAAAACCTGCAAAATCGGCAGTTTATCAAATACTTGTTCTCCCCACTGTATAATTTACTCAATGTACATAAGTGGAGTCTCCCATTCAGGTTGTTTGATTTACCATATAGGAACATAAACACAGTCTTGGTGGATCCACTCTTTCTAGAAGGATCTTTCAGCAAGACAACAGGGAGGAGGCTTGATGAGGTTGACTGACACAAGGGTGTTTTCAAAGAAGGAGGAGAGTAGATCCTCTTTATAAACACTCCAGCTACAGTTCTTCTCCACCTGTCTGCTCATCAAAGCCAAACAAGCCTTGGAGAGAGAGGAGGAGCCAAAAAGGTATGTTTCATTTTACTTTTACTAATGGGATATTACAAGCACTTTCTTACTGTATAACATCTTACATCATGACTGATATTTTGGTGTCAAAAAGCATTATTTTAAAGTTGTTATCTAGTAAATCTGCCTAGTTTGGATCACAGTGGCTTTCATAATGAGATATTTATCAAGAACAAAATAAGTCAGAAAATGTATTTTGTTGCTGCATATGTAAAGTGATTATGTATTGACATATAATACTGCAACAGCATACCAGCAATCATTTGATCATATCACTAATCACTTGATCAATGGCAGTACTGTCTGTTTCTAATCTATATGGGTCAAGAAAAAAGAAAATGGGATTCTGCCCGCAAAATATATTGTTTAACTTAAATGTTCAACAGAGCATTAATTTATGATCCCTAGCCAGATTGGGTGGAATTAAAATCATAAATCAGGGATCAGCCCTTAGTTTTGGTTCACACGGTCTGCAGCTAAACCCACTACAATGACACACCAGATTATGTATCACTTTGTCAAATATTGGCATTAACAGATTGATGCTTCATTACAGAATATTTGTTCCAGAGGATGCAGAGGAGGAATAATTTGAGAAAAAAACAAGTTTTCCTGTTAAAGGTGACAGGCAAAGGTCAAGTTAGTCCTGAATTCAATCGGAATCTCACCAAAACAATATATTTTATGTAATACTATGAATATTTAAAAGCATCACAACACTACAAACTTTTCACATTTTTTGGGAGGACAGAAGGGGGAGGAGAAAGGTTGAAAAAAGCCACTTCAGTCATACTCTATTTGCCAAGTGAAATCCACTGACTATTTTACATAGCTTTTACATTAATCTCGGCAGCCAGAACCAAATCAGTTACTCAATGTTAAGGCTGTAATGAGATAATTATTTTCCATAAATTTGCTTTCAATATTTCCCTATCCCAAAATCCTAATATTATCTTGTTTCGTGCAGATCTTCATAAAAGGTTTTCTAAAAAAAACAAACACCTTCTTTACCCTTTCACATCTTTTCAGTGGCTATGTGGCTCCCAACAGCGTTGGCACTGTTTCTGGGTAAGAATTGTATTCCCTTTTCCCGAACATATTTAAACTAAAAACATCAGATCATTTAGACCATGTATACTGACCACAGTATGCTGTTATAGTTACCTTATTTGCTCTACTGTGACACATATCCATGTTTTTAGATCTCATTATCTATGTACAAGCTATACATCTGTAACAGATACAACATACACATTACGTTTTGTGATCTTTCTTGTTAAATTTACAGTATGGGAATGTTTAGACTGTTTTCTTTTCCCAGGTGCAGCCCCTGACCTCTTCTTCAGCCAGCAGTCCTTGAATGAGTCCTTCAGTGACACCCGAGAAGTCGAACCATGTGAGTTTATATGCTTATATGCTATATAAGACGTATCCTTCATGGTTTAGTGTAAATAATCTTATATTGTAATATTGAGCATCGACAAAGACATTTCTGTCACTTTTGTGGTAGTTTATCTTTCTAATAATGTATTTGTTATCCAAATGAAAACCACATTTGCCCCCATTCAACAGCTCACTGCTCACAGGGATTCATGGTTGACCTAGTCTTTTACTGGAATGACATTTTGATGGTGTATGAACGGGATGCCCATCATTACCGGCTTGCCTGCTCCCTGAATGTTCCTGCTTCAGCTACGTGGTTAAAGAGTATAATCTATTTGAGTATTTGGGTTGCCTGTTTGGGTGGTGGTCACACCACTTGTTTTGGTAAATAGTTGAAGGATGGGGTTAGAGAAATGTCACCTCTCTCAAAAGCAGAGCTATGGATTCAAGGACTGATTATGCATGAGATCAAAATGATAAACAGTATTTCTTTAAAATTACATTGATGATATATTTAAAAAAAAAAAGTACAACAGAAATGACATAGGAAGTGTATCAGTATTGTCTTTTACTTTCAAAACAGACTCCGCTGCTATCAAAAGTATTCAAATGGTCAAACAAGTATGACAAACTATCCAGGAGTCATATCTGGTTACACTAGGAAGGGCTGCAGGAAAGGTATGGATCAATCTAACCTACTGTACGAATAGTACTTACAACTGTTAAACATGTTTTCAGCATTCACACTGTCAAGGAGTTGTAAATAAGCTCTAAATTGAGATGACTGAGTGATCAAGCACAATAACATTAGTATGAAAATAGGTTTATTTAGCTTAAAATAACTTCAGTTCCTTTATAAATCCAATGTAGTTTTATATTAACCATTGATTTCTGTCCGTGGGTCATTCTTCACGAAACTAGAACAACAAAAGAATCAATTTAATCCTTTGGAGGAAGGATTCTTGACCTATATTTGACATTTATACTTTAAAGTATAATTGAGAAATAATTAACTGAAGTTGGAATATTTGTGACATTTCTGCCTTCCTTTAAAACTCCATAATCTGTAGGTGATACAAAGTAAAGGTTGGTGACAGATGGAACTTTACCACTTGCTCTGTAATGTGAGCAGTGTTTTCGTTTCAATAAAACATTTCTTACATACATTTATGAATATTTAAAAACATAAACATGAATATTGAAACAATTTGTATTTGGCACATTTTTCAATATCTGATCCCTCCATCAATCCCATAACGCTAATAGTAGCAGAGTTCCTACTCTGGAACTTTGATATGGATGTAGAGTATTTCATGTTCAACAATATATAGAAACACTTGCCAAATCATACATTTTCAATATTCATGTTTATGTTTTTCAATATTCATAAATGTATGTAAGAAATGTGTTATTGAAATCAAAATATTACTCATATTACAGAGCAAGCGGTAAAGCTTCATATGACACCAACTGTGGCTTTGTAGCGCCTACATATGAAACACTATGGAATCTTAAAGGAGGCCTGGATAAGGCTAAAATGTCACAAAAATTCCAACTTCAATTAATTATTTCTCCATTATGCTTTAAGATACAAATGTTGAATGTTGTACAAAACATTAGGAACACCTTTCTAATATTGAGTTGCACTTCCTTTTGCCCTCAGAACAGCCTCAATTAGTATCCAATGTTGACTCCAATGCTTCCCACAGTTGTGTTAAGTTGGCTGGATGTCCTTTGGGTTGTGGACCATTCTTGATATACACGGAAAGCTGTTCATAGTGAAAAACCCAGCAGCATTGCAGTTCTTGACACACTCAAACCGGTGCTCCTGGCACCAACTACCATACCCTGTTCAAAGGCATTTCAATCTTTTGTCTTACCCAATCAACCTCTGAATGGCACACATACACAATCCATGTCTCAATTGTCTCAAGGCTTGAAAATCCTTCTTTAACCTGTCTCCTCCCCTTCATCTACACTGATTGAAGTGGATTTAACAGGTGAAATCAATAAGGGATCATAGCTTTCACCTGGATTCACCTTGTCAGTCTATATCATGGAAAGAACATGTTTTGTTCACTCAGTTTGTGTCAACAATCCTTCCTCCAAAGGATCATTCTATGGATTATATCATGAGGAATCACCTCTGTGCTTTGTCTGTCCACACAGGTCCAGCAGTAGAGATACTGGTGTTCTCTCTGGTTAGTGAGGGGAGGAGCATGGCTGAAGCCCAGAAGTTCTGCAGGGAGTACTATGAGGAACTGGCCACCATCTTCAATGCTGAGGACCAAACAACAGCTCTGAGAGCAGTGTCAGCACAGAGCCTCACTGACGCTATCTGGGTCTACTCCCAATACCATGCCTTTTGGCCCCAACTGGCCTATTGGAATACGCCAAATGCAAAGTGTGTTGTTCATGGACAAATAGCAAAAGTATGGATTTTGAGAGATTGCACAAATTCATGTCACTTTGTGTGCCAGAAAAGTAAGTTGATTTTCCATCCCTTCTCTCCCTTGTCTGATTTTTGTAAACTACTACTCCAAAGTAATGTTAACACTTTACTTGAAGAGGGTTAGTCATTCAGAACACCGTGGTACGGTACATAGTACATTTAAAATCATGTCACCTTCATGAGTTACAGTATCCTTTGACAACCGTCTAAGCATAACAGAGACACAGCAGTTTGAAATGTGGATCGAACTCTATTGGAAGACTTCTACCCGATTGTGGCAGTGGTCCAATGTGGACGCCTTTCCATACTGCGTGTCTGAGCCTCAACTGGGGGCTAGTAACTGCTGCTCCCTGACCCATAAGGGCCATGGAGAGACTGAACAAGCCATCCTGGACAAGATAGACTGCTCTCTGAAAAGACCGTTCCTTTGCACTGGAAGTAAGACTGACATCTTTTATTGAACAGATAGAGTAAAAGATAGGCAGATGTCAAAGGTTACTAGACTGGATTCAAAACTATTCTGACACAATAGACGTGTTCCAGAGATTGTGGCATTACCACTAGACCGGCCAGGCCACAAGACTGCCATCTTATTGGGGTTATTGGGGTTATTGGGGGTCGTAATACAGGGACAGGGATGGCATTTTAGCCCCAATAGGGTTCCACTACAGCAAACACTGTCACATGTGATGCATGTGATTCACAGAGATGCTACATGTAGCCTACTCCAGTCACCTCTCTCTCCCCACCTTTCAAATATATGTGCTCATGTGGTTTCTATTATGAGATAATGATTCCATACTGGTAAATATAGAACACAGAGGCTTGCTACTACACAGTTCCAAAGAAATGTACAGTCTTCAAAGGACATTGGAAGAACATTTATATTTATTGTAAATAAGCTGAATCTCATCTGGGTGGCTGTCTCATCTTACCACTCTAATGTCCCTCTAGGAAAGAGATTCAAGCAGACCATTGTCAGGATGTCTCTGAAATCTAACTCAGGAGCTGACCTCAATGACCCAGTGGTTAAGGAACAGATGTTGGAGCAGGTACAGTAGTCCTACATCTCCCATATCAGAAATCAAGGTCATGCTCAATCATTTCACTCTTCTCATGATTAGGAATAGAAACTTGACATCACTGCTGGCTTTATCTAGATTGATCATATCTCATAGATCAGAAAGGAGTTGGCAAAGAACAGAAACTTCATCCAAGGCCTACGCTGGAGAGAACTGCCGAATGGAGATGTTTTTAACGAAACAGTTGAACTTGGAAGCCCTGAAGAAGGTAAGAACTTGTTTGTTCCACAGTTATGAAAATGAACATCAAGTTTAGTCTGTTGTTCAGAGTCCCTTGTACAGTGTGTTTTTAAGTTTGGGAAATGAAGTAAGGTGTTCATGAACTAATTCCAGTGAGAGTCTTTGTACTGTTGTGTTTGGTTTCTAAAGTCAGTTTAGGTCTGGATGAAGAGGACCAGTCATGATGATGCAGCAGGAGAGGTTTGGAAGGTCCAAGAAAACTAAAATAGTCAAGCTTACTGTAATTAACCCTATTATCTCATAATATATTACAGTATATGAATAACAGTATCTTAGTCCAGGGATAATCTTTTTTTACTTTTATGATAGATACTGTAGCTTTTTTGCTTATAAATGAAAAATAAGATGTAAAGTTATATTTGTGTCACGATCGTTGAGAGACGGGTCAGACCAAGGTGCAGCGTGAAAAGCGTACATGTTTATTAACTAAATAAACATACAACAAAACAAGAAACAACGTAACGTGAAGTCCTCCGGCTATACACACACAAGCCTAAACGGAACAAGATCCCACAATTAAGGTAGGCAACCAGAGACAACGAGCGACAGCTGTCTCTGATTGGGAATCACACCCGGCCAAACATAGAAATACAACCTAGATCTATCACATAGAAATACACTAACATAGATCTCAACAGAAAACTCACACACTGACCCAACCAACGAGAGTTCTCTCGATCAGGGCGTGACAGTACCCCCCCCCCCAAAGGTGCGTACTCCGGCCGCACCAACCTGACTCATTAGGGGAGGGTCCGGGTGGGCATTCAGCCTTGGAGGCGGATCCGGCTCTGAGCGTGACGACCTCTCCCTCTCTGCCTCCCCGTTGCGCCCCTGGTCTGGTCTGGACCTTGGTGCGATGCTTCCCCTCTCCTTCCTCCCACGATGCACCAAGCCCTGTCTGGACCCTGGTGTGGGAGACCCCGAACCTGGAGAGGGGCTGACGTCTGGGCCTGGATCAGCAATCCTCCCACGATGCACCAAGCCTTGTCTGGACCCTGGTGTGGGAGGCCCCGACCCTGGAGAGGGGCTGACTTCTGGGTCTGGAGTGGAGCCGCTGACCGGAGCTGGACTAGAAACCAGTGGAGTGGACTGCTCTGGCTCCGGAATGGATCCGCTGACCGGAGCTGGACTTGGCACCGGTGGAACGGATTACTCTGGCTCCGGAGTGGAGCCGCTGACCGGAGCTGGACTGGGCACCGGTGGAGCGGACGGCTCTGGCTCCGGAGTGGAGCCGCTGACCGGAGCTGGACTGGGCACCGGTGGAGCGGACGGCTCTGGCTCCGGAGTGGAACCGCTGACCGGAGCTGGACATGGCACCGGTGGAGCGGACTGCTCTGGCTCCGGAGTGGAGCCGCTGACCGGAGCCGGACTGGATACACGCACCACTGGTCTGGGTAGCAACACCGCAGCCACTGCTTAAACCATGCATTTAGATTGTAGGTAGGTATTGTAGTTAGGTATTGTAGGTAGTTTATCCATGTAGTTATTGTAGGTAGTTATTGTAGGTAAGTATTGTAGTGTATTCGACTGAGCCCGGTGAAGCATGAGGCTAGCTTGCTAACCCACTACCTGGACCATTAAAGCTAGCTAGCTAGTGGGTAGCAACACCGCACCCACTGCTAGCTGGCCAACTATACCAGCTAGCAGTACTGTAGCAACTAAATACATTTCAACGGAACGATTTGATTAGTGTAAAGTTAGCTAGCTACATAGTTGTCTTGGTATCAAAGACAAAGGTGTAGTATATAGAAACAATCGAGGTTAGCTAGCCAGCTACATTTTCAAACAGTCAACACCGCAGCCACTGCTAGCTAGCCAACATTACCAGCTAGCAGTACTGTATCATTTTAGTCAATGAGAATTTTGCAACGTAAGCTTCACTTTCTGAACATTCGAGATGTGTAGTCCACTTGTGTAGCTAGCATGACTGACTTTGTGCTAGCTATCCAATGTTTAATTACTTCTGCGTTATGAAAGGAACTAGACACGGACATGAATGATCCATTGGTAGTTTGTTGTAACCAAGTATTGGTGCTAAACCATGTGTTATTGGATGCTAGCATGCTAGTTTGCTATGGCGTCATAGGATACGGTGCCCTGGGTGGTTTTCACAGAAGAATACTGTACCGAGTTAGCTAGCTGAATAAACTAAGTTAGTCTATTCCTGGAAACATTGAACTACTGTAGATTACAGCAATTATAATTTCTAAAGTGGAAGTTGGAAGACTTGTATTTGAGTGTTTCAGTGAAAGGTTAGTGAGGGTAGGCCTCGTTTCCCCAGATGTTTAGTTAATTTCATTCCGATCTCCTTTGCATTAGTGTAGCCTTTTCTGTAGCCTGTCAGCTATGTGTCTGTCCATCCCTGTTCTCTCCTCTCCACACAGGCCAGACAAACGCCTCACACCGCGTGGCTGCTGCCTCTCTAACCTGGTGGTCCCTGCACGCACGACCCACGTGGAGTTCCAGGTCTCCGGCAGCCTCTGGAACTGCCGTTCGGCGGCCAAAAAGGCAGAGTTCATCTTAGCCTATGCTACCCTCCAGTCCCTCGACTTCTTGGCGCTGACGGAAACATGGATTACCACAGAAAACACTGCTACTCCTACTGCTCTCTCCTCGTCTGACCATGTGTTCTCGCATACCCCGAGAGCATCTGGTCAGCGGGGCGGTGGCACAGGAATCCTCATCTCTCCCAAGTTGACATTCTCTCTTTCTCCCCTGACCCATCTGTCAATCTCCTCATTTGAATTCCATGCTGTCACAGTCACTAGGCGATTCAAGCTTAACATCCTTATCATTTATCGCCCTCCAGGTTCCCTTGGAGAGTTCATCAATGAGCTTGATGCCTTGATAAGTTCCTATCCTGAGGATGGCTCACCCCTCACAGTTCTGGGTGACTATAACCTCCCTACGTCTACCTTTGACTAATTTCTCTCTGCCTCCTTCTTTCCACTCCTCTCCTCTTTTGACCTCACCCTCTCACCGTCTCCCCCTACTCACAAGGCAGGCAATACGCTTGACCTCATCTTTACTAGATGCTGTTCTTCTACTAATCTCACTGCAACTCCCCTCCAAGTGTCCGACCACTACTTTGTATCCTTTTCTCTCTCGCTCTCCTACAACACTACTCACTCTGCCCCTACTCAGATGGTAATGCGCCGTCGCGACCTTCGCTCTCTCTCTCCCGCTACTCTCTCCTCTTCCATCCTATCATCTCTTCCCTCTGCTCAAACCTTCTCCCTCCAATCTCCTGATTCTGCCTCCTCAACCCTCCTCTCCTCCCTTTCTGCATCTTTTGACTCTCTATGTCCCCTATACTCCCGGCCGGCTCGGTCCTCCACTCCTGCTCCGTGGCTTGACGACTCATTGCGAGCTCACAGAACAGGGCTCCGGGCAGCCGAGCGGAAATGGAGGAAAACTAGACTCCCTGCCGACCTATCATCTTTTCACTCCCTCCTCTCTACATTTTCTTCCTCTGTTTCTGCTGCTAGAGCCACTTTCTACCACTCTACATTTCAAGCCTCTGCCTCTAACCCTAGGAAGCTCTTTGCCACCTTCTCCTCCCTGCTGAATCCTCCTCCTCCTCCCCCTCCCTCCTCCCTCTCTGTGGATGACTTCGTCAACCATTTTGAAAAGAAGGTTGACGACATCCGATCCTCATTTATTAAGTCAAATGACACCGCTGCTCCTGCTCACACTGCCCTATCCTATGCTTTGACTTCTTTCTCCCCTCTCTCTCCAGATGAAATCTTGCGACTTGTGACGGCCTGCCGCCCAACAACCTGCCCGCTTGACCCTATCCCCTCCTCTCGTCTCCAAACCATTTCCAGAGACCTTCTCCCTTACCTCACCTCGCTCATCAACTCATCCTTGACCACTGGCTATGTCCCTTCTGTCTTCAAGAGAGCGAGAGTTGCACCCCTTCTCAAAAAACCTACACTCGATACCTCCAATGTCAACAACTACAGACCAGTATCCCTTCTTTCTTTTCTCTCCAAAACTCTTGAGCGTGCAGTCTTTCTCTCCAACTCTCTTGTTATCTCTCTCAGAATGACCTTCTTGATCCAAACCAGTCAGGTTTCAAGACTGGTCATTCAACTGAGACTGCTGATCTCTGTGTCACTGAGGCTCTCCGCACTGCTAAAGCTAACTCTCTCTCCTCTGCTCTCATCCTTCTAGACCTATCTGCTGCCTTTGATACTGTGAACCATCAGATCCTCCTCTCCACCCTCTCCGAGTTGGGCATCTCCGGCGCGGCTCACTCTTGGATTGCGTCCTACCTCACAGGTCGCTCCTACCAGGTGGCGTGGTGAGAATCTGTCTCCGCATCACGTGCTCTCACCACTGGTGTCCCCCAGGGCTCAGTTCTAGGCCCTCTCCTATTCTCTCTATACACCAAGTCACTTGGCTCTGTCATATCCTCACATGGTCTCTCCTATCATTGCTATGCAGACGACACACAATTAATCTTCTCCTTTCCCCCTTCTGATAACTAGGTGGTGAATCGCATCTCTGCATGTCTGGCAGACATATCAGTGTGGATGACGGATCACCACCTCAAGCTGAACCTCGGCAAGACGGAGCTGCTCTTCCTCCCGGGGAAGGACTGCCCACTCCATGATCTCGCCATCACGGTTGACAACTCCGTTGTGTCCTCCTCCCAGAGTGCAAAGAACCTTGGCGTGACCCTGGACAACACCCTGTCGTTCTCCGCTAACATCAAAGCTGTGACCCGATCCTGTAGGTTCATGCTCTACAACATTCGCAGAGTACGACCCTACCTTACACAGGAAGCGGCACAGGTCCTAATCCAGGCACTTGTCATCTCCCGTCTGGATTACTGCAACTCGCTGTTGGCTGGGCTCCCTGCCTGTGCCATTAAACCCCTACAACTCATCCAGAACACTGCAGCCCGTCTGGTGTTCAACCTTCCCAAGTTCTCTCACGTCACCCCGCTCCTCCGCACACTC